CATCGAACATATTTCGAGTCACTACACTGATTTTCACAAGTAAATACAGTCCACTTCACAAACCTAAAAATTCGCACAAAGTTAATTCGGCGTGCGAAGTACTAGTTTAACTACCGAACATAGTCGGTGGAAAACAAGGTACACGACAGCTACAAGTAAAATTAAAAATATAACTAAAACTATATTAACCCCTAGCCCTATGATTTATTTCTTAACTACGATCGATACAACTGTTTTTATCGTTAATAATTTATTAGGAAAAGAAAAAGTGTCTACGTTTACTCCAAATGGTAACAACTGATAATTGATAACTAATATTTAATTTCAATTCTACAAAAATAAATAACACTTAGATTTATGAAATTCAGTTGAAAATTTTCGTTGCAAGTCTGAGACGATATCGTAGGTCAAGGGATTAATAATTAAAGTAACAAGCATAAATTGTTTGCAATGAAAGAAATTCTTCTTGCCTACAGCCCATGTTCTCGTTGCGACAGTCTCGAAATTGAAAGAACCTTGGTCAAATCCCATATTGAAAAGCTATTACAAAGGAGTCCGAAGACAATACAATAAGAGTTTTGTCTTTGTTCACCAAATAAATTGTGGTCACATTTCAGTAGAGAATAGAATTGAAAATTGGATTCCTTTGGAAAAGAATTTAACTATAGTTCACTTCATTATCCAATACTCTTCTTCGTTACACAACAAGAATTGAATAGAGTTTTATTTTCAATTGAATTGTATCTGGGATGTAAGTACATAAGCAAATTCTGGTTTTTCCAACAATGAGAGATTCTGTGAGATTTCGAAAAGCTTTCTTTGCATACTAATGCATGTAATCCCGAAATTTTTTCATATCTTCTCAGGATATCTGAGATTCTGTTCAAATTTGCATTTGTAATGGGCTGTATCATGTTCATAATATGGAATATTAACTTACTAAGATTTTTTAAGTATGTACTTCGAAATCTGTAAAATATTTGTTTTTTTTTAATATTTAAAATAATGGCTAAAATATGAAACAGCTTTTACTTGAAAGCAGTCAAATACTTTACGTATTACACTAAAATGTAGTAAACTGTACGCACTCTGAAAATTAAATATTACGCCATCGTGGAAATGCAACTGTCGCAGATTTCCTACCTCTGTGTAAATACGTTAAAGCATATTTATGTGCTTGTATGTTTTTTATTGCAGTCAACATTCAGCAAATATTTATTTCTATGTGTAAATTTGTTACTGCGATATTAAAAAAGGTACAAAATTATTCTGCTCGCAGAATATATTTTCAAATTTTTATAAAATTCCATTTATATACTTTATGTGAAGTAACTACATGGTTTACTGCAATGAAAAGAATTATTCGTATCCCGTAATACATTTAACTTCAACGTGAAATTATTTTATAATAGCACACCTGTATCGAATCTTTGTTATGTTGAAATGGATAAAATATTGATAGCTTCCGTATGATATATATTGTATCAAGCAATGTATAAATATTTATAACGTCACATGTACGGTTTTTAGATATTGCAAGAAATGCCGAGAAACAACATTCGAATACTTATTTTAACATATAGTTTATTTCAATACGCAAAACAAATTAAAAATTAATATTTGATTGCATATCCTTTTCACATGAAAATTGTTTGTAAATATTTGAATATAAAATTAATTAAATTATTTGTTAATACATCTTATATTAAAATATGGTCAAATTCATAATTCTCCTTTATCATTCAGTATCTTCGTGTTTTTGGTTTAAATTCTTTCCATAAGTGTTCCATTGAGTTTATGATTCGAGACTATGAGGGAGTTTCCAAAATATGTGGTGCGTTACACAATAACCATAATGTTATTATAGTCATACATCGCGTTTCGGGTTGTTATTTGGCGAAAAATAATAAGAATTTGAAGTTTAAATTATTTCGACGATCTGTTTTAAATTGTTCTTTAAAATATTTTAATGGACATGCTAGTATATTTCAGTATCTATAATTTGCAAATTTCCTACATTAATATTGGTCTCATGATGTCTTTCTTTAGAATTCCAGAATTATTTTGGGTCAAAAATCAAACTCTCTTTCATCTGTAAATGTTTGCTGTAAAAACTCTAGGTTATTATTTTTTTTTATTCTTTTCATTCGTATCCTTCTTTGTGGACTGTATTCGATTTCCTCCAGTAACTTAAGAAAATAATTTTCTATTCGGGAGACCCATATTCCCCACTTTTGTTCAGCCTGCCAATGATTGTGTTAGTAATTTGCTCTCAAAGGGATTAATTTTAATTTCTTTTTAAAATAAATTAATGTTGTTTCATATTTTTTAAGAATATATTGCACGGTGGCATGGATTTCCCCATCATTCTGTTTATTTCCCGGAGGGACTTCCCTTCTTCGTATGTAGCTTAATCATAATTTTTCTCTCTTTTGTTCTTGGTTCTCTTCGCTTCGTACACATTTTGTTCAGAATAAAATATTTCTTATAGAATACTATACAATACACCGGATATAAACAAATAACTGCACAAAACATGGTTCATTAAATACCTGTTGCTTCCCATAGACTTTTTCTTGCTTTGAAAGGAATTTTCCCCGGTACATGTACAAATACTTTCTCCTTGAATATATTTTCTAACTTCTGTTAACGTTTCTTGTTACCTTGTAAATATTCGTAAATATTTTGGAATATCTATTTACTTATCTATTTGTTACCTTGTAAATATTTACTTATACGTTAATAGAATACATGTATATGATTCGGAAGCTATTATTTACTGTACTTTGAGGCAAACTAATTTTGATTGAATTTTGTCATTAGTCAATAATTTAATGAGATAATTAAAATAATTTAAAGAAGATAATTATAAAGTAGTTTCAAATGTGGGACGGTATATGAATACTTCTCTCAGTCGCCGGTTGTTTATAAATCAGAATAAAAAGTTTTTAGAAGAGCACTTTTGTTCTAAATAAGTAAATCTGTCCAAATGTACATACTTTTGTTTACGCGGATGTTGCGTTGTAGACGCAATAACAATAACATAAGTTATAGGGAGTAGTTTAAAGTCAATCGGTGTAAATCAGTTTTCATTTTACGTAGTTTAAAAGAGTTTCTATCGTTAAAACTTTGCGCTGATAAAGTAATTGGAACACTACCTGTAGAATTAAATCTTAACACTTAACCGGCTGGTCGGGTAAAAGTACCCCTTTAAAAAACTTACGCAAACGGCCGGCGGGTATTAGGTAATACCCGTTTAGACTTTCTTGTAGATTAAAATCATTTCTAAGTAATTAAGTATAACAATTATCGATTCCTTTATAAATTTATATATTAGACAGTAGTAGCTTATATTATATATAATTCACCTTCTGGTTCTACGAGTTTACAAGATATTGTTGATATCAACTTGATAGGAGCTGTTAATCTATGAAAAACATTACTGTTCCATTTTACCCTACTCTCCTCTGCGTATTATATGTACGAACCACCTTTGTTT